TATGTCATCTTCTGAATGTTTGTTTTGACCTGTGAAAGCCAGCAGCAACGTATTGCAATCTCATGCATAACACATGGTTGCAGTCGTATTCACAATTGTAAGGTGGTCAGAACTACATGTTGTGCTGGGGGCCACCATTTCGTGTTATGTAAATTTACTGTAATGCAGACTTTTGTTTACTGCACAGAGTACAACATGTACCACAACCAAAGTTCCAGTGTGCACAAACCAGGGGCGGACTGACCATTTGGAAACTCGGGCACTGCCCGAGGGGCCCGGGGTCAGTAGGGGGCCCCATGAGATGCCCCTGGTACCTTTTTCATAGGCTTTTTTGAGTTTGGGAGAGAGAGCCATACAGGGGATCGCAGGTCAATAAATGACCACATTGCTGAGAATGGTTATAGGTGCAGTGCTTTTAAAACATAAAAGACATTAAAGAACTGCAGGTACAACAGAAAATGTAGTAATAAATACACAAAATGAAAAAAAAATGAAAGAAGAGCAAGGCTAGTGCTAACCATATACCAGGGGCGGACTGACCATTTGGAAACTCAGCATTCAGTCCTGTCCAGTAACAGCATGTTTCAGACAACCATAGACTTTGATAGGCTGAAGGCAGTGTGGCTAAATGCTGCACCTTTGCTTCCCAGATGAACTAAAATGCCAGGACTGTACTCACAGGGGCTAGATGCCCAGTGCACAAGGGGCCTTATGTATTGCTTCCAGAACAGTGCAAACATCCTGCATGACCAGGGGTGGACTGACCATTTGGAAACTCAGGCATTGCCCGAGGGGCCCGGGGTCAGTAGGGGGCCCCATGAGATGCCCCTGGTACCTTTTTCATAGGCTTTTTTGAGTTTGGGCAAGGACACAGGGGCCCCATGATCCCCTATTGCCCGGGGGCCCCATGAGTTCTCAGTCCGCCCCTGTTGCAGATGCAATGGGGAGGTGTATTTTTTCTTTGTGCTGTTGTAATATTGTGGATGACTCACTAAGAATATATGCCAACTGAGTGGACCTGCATTATGCTTTTTCTTTGTATTTCTCTAACTTCACAAACCCAGGAATTAGAACCTAGCATATGGTTAAAGATTCATTGCCTCACCTTTCAGTGAAAACTGCTCATCAAAAAGGTAAGTAGCTCCAGAGATGTAAGTAGCTGAGGTCATATGCAAAATCTGATATACTCTAAACGGTGTATAGAAATATGGCACATTTGTTGTTACCCTTCTACATAAAAAATAGAACCAACAATTTTCTCTGAAGTAAAAACTGAAAGTAACTGGCATCCATCATTGTTTATTCCATACTTAATAAAATTAGACTTTGCTTTGATTCAATAATAAAGCAATTTAGAATAGCATGGACAAAAATGATGTGGCCCTTAAAGTGGTTGTAAACCCTTACAAATATCCAGTGAAGTGACTAACCTCATGTGATACACAAGGATTAAATAAATCTTCCTACATAAGTTGTACCAGTTTATTTCCGCCCTCTCCCCTCTACAGCCATTCAAAGTGCAGAATTTATACAGCTCATCTGAGCTTTCAGAAAGCAAGGGGCAGGGAGCTGAAACAGGGGCGGCTGCAGACAATTTATTGGGGGGTGCTGTGCTGGTGTTGGAAGTGCGAGTGCGGGAGCTTATACGGCGCACGGAGCACGCTGGCTGCCTCACATTTGTGGGTGTGGCCAAAAGTAGGTGGGGTCCACAAGTAGGTGTGGCCACAAAAATGGGCATTTCTGCATAGTCTAGGGCTTGTAGTATGACACTTTCCTCCCTTTGTATAGACTAAATAAGGCATGGGGTGAACTGAAGAGACTATGGGAATAAAAAAGACCCAGTTGCAGCCTGAAATCATAACTCCCCATCACAGCAAAATAATTATCTCTCAGAACTCCACAATAAGTCACCCAAGGTAGAACACAGTACAGTAATTAACCAGGGCATGGTTCATTACTTAACGTAGAACTATAGGAAAAACATTTTTTCATATTGGTTAGAGCAAGGGAGGGTTTATAATCCCTGTCAGATTTTTTTATTTGCCATCTGTGTGATTTCCCTTCAGTATGCCTTCTGTACACTGATAGCCAGCGGCCCTGCATACTAGTGGTCAGAGTACCCCTGTCTACTGGTGGTCAGTTCTCTTGTATACTGGTGGTCAGAGCTTTTCTTTGCTCAAAGAATAGGTGCAGGAACTAAACTACGCACCCTCCACAATACGAACGACCCCCTCTCCCCTAAGCAGGAAAGCATACCACATCAAAAGGTGGATCTGACCAAACTGCACTAATTAAGGAAGAATCTTAAAAGGGCATTGTTAAATACCAGAAGAGCGTTTCGTTGAACTTGGTGTAGACTTATTCATCTTGAGGTCATCACAGAGAACAAGGGGACACTCTTTATGTCTGGAGGAAAATAAATGCAATCTCCAAATACGGAAAGGTTTCTTTACAGTAAGAGCTGTGAAAATGCGGAATAGACTCCCTCAAGAGTTGGTTCTGGTCAGCTCAGTGGATTGCTTAAAAAAGGCCTGGATTCTTTCTTAGATACACAGAATATAACTGGTCACTAACATTTATAGATAAAGTTGATCCAGGGAATATCAGATTGCCTCTTGGGGGATCAGGAAGGAATTTTTTTCCCCTGCAGGAGCAAATTGGTTCATGCTTTTTTTTTTTGCCTTCCTCTGGATCAACTGTGGGTATAGGATTTTAACTTTTTTTTTTTGGTCGAACTGGATGGACTTTTGTCTTTTTTTCAGCCAGACTAACTATGTAACTATGAGAAAGCATTCTACACAGGATGCAGGGTGCAGGAGTGTGCTACTTAGAGTGCAGGGTTCAGAAGTGCATTACATATAGAATATAGGGTTCAGGAGTGTGTTACACACAAGGTGCAGGGTTCAGTAGTGTGTTACATACAGAATGCAGGGTTCAGGAGTGTGTTACATACAGAATGCAGAGTTCAAGAATGCATTATATACAGAATGCAGGGTTCAGGAGTGTATTACACACAAAGTGCAGAGTTCAGTGTGTGCGTTACATACAGAATGCAGAGTTCAAGAATACATTACATACAGAATGCAGGGTTCAGGAGTGCATTACACACAAATTGCTGTATTCAGGGGTGAGTTACATACAGAATGCAGGGATTAAGAGTGTGCTGCATACAGAATGTAGCACTCAGTGTGCTGTGTACAGAATGCAGGGTTAAGGAGTGCGTTACACACAAGGTGCAAAGTTCAGAAGAGCGTTACGTACGGAAAACAGGGTTCAGGAGTGGGCTACACACAAAGTGCAGAGTGAGTTCAGGGGTGCATACTGTACATGTAATGGTCAGCACCCAATAGCAGAAATATGTGAACTTAAATTCTCCTTGTTTGCTGAGTTCACACAGGGCAACCATACAGAGAACAGGCAGATTGTAGTATTACATTTAAATCACTACAGAGCAAACTTCTTAGTTGCAGGATCAGGATGAATTTACCTCAAACCATCTCTGGACACTGGGGAATTCCATAGGAATGTAAGCCTCCCTCCTTGCTCTCCAGAACAATTGTACAGGCTGCCACCAGACTATGCATGTCCCCTGCCCCCTCCTTTCCCTGCTGTGATAAAGCCAAGACACATCCCCTTCACAATGCACACAGGAACAGAGCTGAGGCTGTCAATTGCAGGCTGTGCGCTGGAAGTCCCTCCTATCACCTTTTTTCAGCAATACCTGTAAGAAGTGACTCGTGAAGATAGCAGAGGAACGAGGAAGCAGACAGAAATTACACTTAGTGCTCTGGATTAAGACACACTATAGAGGGATATGTTTCTTGTGTGACACTTTGATAATGAGACACATTTTTATAGGCCATCAGTTGAGACTGAATCAGCTGATATTAATTTGCACTGACAAGGGGCAGGATTGCTTTATAATGCCTGATAGATTTCAGCTGGTGTCTTGGCTTTCCATGCCTTGTTGCACCTCCCTTTCTTCATGTGTTCAATGCTTTTTCCCTGTGTCATTCCATTTTACTACACATAACTTAATCTCTGAATTGATTTATTCTGATATTTTGTATGTATGGATTGTACGGGTTGTTACTGACATGTGGTGAGAATTTCATGTCAATTGCACCTTTAGAAATATATTTACTAAGAAAAATGGTGACTTGTGCAATACTTATTTTACCCGCTGTAAATCCCGATAAGTGTATATTGACTGGTTGCCTGAAAGTTATAGCGTCTGCGAATTAAGGGATATATATAGGAATTTGTATTTATTTATTACACTACTAATGGCGGTGATCAGCGACTTATAATGGGACTGCAATAGTGTGGCGGACAATCTGACATTAACTGATGCTGAGGGGACCTGACTAACTGCCACTGACATCACCAGTGACACTAATACAGTCATCAGTGATTATACTGTACTAATGACACTGGCTGGGAAGTGGTTAACATCTAGGGGTTAACCTCCCTGGAGGTATGATTATTTCTGATTTTTGGTGCTGAAAGCGGTAAATTTTTTTGCATGGAAATTTGGCGTTTTATATTGTAGACCTGTAATTCTTAGGAATAACTCACTGAAATCTGTCTGAACAAGAGTCTAGTAAACATCCCAGGTAGGATAAAACTTGAAACACGAAATCATAAATTATAATTTAATAAATAATTATAAAAAATAATAATATAATAATAATAAATTTAATTCAATAATATAATCAAACCAAAAACACTGAAATTTGAAATATAGCGCCAAGTTCGCACATCGCTGAGCAAAGTCGCAAAATCCTTTTCAGTGCCTGATGATGAATTTCCCCCACAAATCATTATCACTCAATTCTGCAAGTGGTTCTGATTTACTATTGCTGTTCTCTAGCCGTGGACGCCATGGACGTTTCTCAGTTTCCAGGCAATAAGAACAGTAAAAATGCAGGCAGGGCACAGGACAAAGCACTCGGGACAAAATGTATGTGAAATGGTTTGATACAGTAATGTTTTACTATGTGATTTTAGTAAATGTCACTTTTTGTCATTTTCAAATTTCCCACCATTCCATCCCCGTACCTCCCGACACTCGCAGGGGATGAACCCAGAGGACAGATGCCGGCATCCGCCGGATTACATTGCCGGGGACACTGCAGGAGGGACATCGCGGGAGAGCAGGACAAGGTAAGTGATTGAGGGATCGCAAAGCAGCACCGCATGGTATTCCCGAGTGTAGCTCGGGGTTACCGCTTGTGGTACTGAAATTTTACCCCGAGCTACACTCGGGAATACCGCCAGGGAGGTTAAATGTATGTATTATGTACTGCTTTTACTCATAGATCTCTTTGTTTCTCGTCCCAGTTTTGCTGGGATGAGAGACAGAGAGATTGTTCCCTCTGTGCAGACCCCTGTGTTGTTTGTCAACACAGGTCTCTGGGCTGTGATTGTACATAGCCGATCAGCAAGTCCCGCTCGTGAACACTGACGGTTGAGGTACAGCCCATTTGAACTCAATGGGCAAGTTTGACAGGTGGTGTCACCTGTCAAACTCTGTAGCCCAAGTTAAAAATGCTGCAGCCATGGCAAGTGTACAACCATTTCCAGGGGTATTGTTTCAGTTCAGATGGGGAGCCAGGGGAAGGTACAACAGTGTGTTTTTATCACCCCCACCACTCGTGTGAAAGAGCGCTAAGGATGAGGCATTCTATCTGAAAAAAAAAAAAAAACGATAAAAGAACCAAAATCTATGAGAAAAACATCAATTGCACACCTTTTTGATATTTAGGTATAAGAACCAAACATTTTGATGAGAACACAATTGTTAAGAAAAGTATCAAACATGGTAAAAAAAACACTCTTACAGCTTAGTGAACTGATGACTATATATAAAATTATTTTGCAGCTAACTAGATTTTTATAGTGAAGTGACTCTGGAAAGAGGATTATGGAAATCGGCTTAGCAGTGGTGCTTTTCTTTAGGTTATTATACAAAGTTATATGGTACACGTTGTTACTGTCTAGCAGTAAAAAAAATGTGAAGGGCTCCCTATCTGCAACTGCCTGCTTCTCATTACAACAGTTTTCTAATAGAGGTTAAAAAAAAGATGCTGATTGGTTTCTATGCAGAGCTGAACCAGATTTTGCACTCTCCAGTTTTAGTAAATAACCCCTTTTGTTTCCTGGTACAAAGCTCTATGTAACATTCTATCACATCTATGAAGTGTTGTTTGTCCCAGCTGTGAACAAGAATATCAAGGCCACTGAACGGCACCTAATATTTAATTTGTACTGAATGAGTAGCTTCAATTGGCACTCAGGATTTACTACAGCGATGTGGTGTTGATGTGCCCTATAACATATCAATCATGTCTGTTCCTCCATTAGCATATTGCACCAAAGTCCCCATTGGAAGACCTATCGCCTTCAATATCAAGGCTAATGCTGGCCATACATTATACAACCTGACTGTATAATCTCCTTAAGGTTTACAAAAACTATGCAATATGAAGTCACACCTGAACAATCTATTCAATTAACATCAAATCAGGCGGATCCTGGCACTACAGTTGACGGTAGTCTGTACAATCACATTGTATAGTATATGGCAGGGGTGGACTGACAACTCATGGGGCCCCCGGGCAATACGGGATCATGGGGCCCCTGTGTCCTTGCCCACATTCAAAAATCCTATGAAAAAGGTACCAGGGGCATCTCATAGGGCCCCCTGCTGACCCCGGGCCCTCGGGCAGTGCCCGAATTTCCAAATGGTCAGTCCACCCCTGGTATATGGTTAGCACTAGCCTTGCTCTTCTTTCATTTTTTTCATGTTGTGTATTTATTACTACATTTTCTGTTGTACCTGCAGTTCTTTAATGTCCAGGGGTGGACTGACCATTTGGAAACTCGGGCACTGCCCGAGGGCCCGGGGTCAGTAGGGGGCCCCATGAGATGCCCCTGGTACCTTTTTCATATGCTTTTTTGTGTTTGGGCAAGGACACAGGGGCCCCATGATCCCCTATTGCCCGGGGGCCCCATGAGTTGTCAGTCCGCTCCTGTTAATGTCTTTTATGTTTTAAAAGCACTGCACCTATAACCATTCTCAGCAATGTGGTCATTTATTGATCTGCGATCCCCTGTATGGCTCTCTCTGCAGCAGCTGAAAGACAGTGAGAGAGAGTAGAGAGGACGGCAGCTTTCAGCTGCTGCAAAGAGAGCCATATAGGGAATCAGTGCCACTATTTGCCCCCTGCCGTGCCGATCACCCTCACTGCCCACATTCGATTCACCTAACTGCCTGGGCCCCCCTGCTGGCATGGCAGAGGAGGATCAGTGGTACCCCCTTATCCATAGCCCTGTTCATGAGACTGCTAGAAATCAATTCTATGACAGGGCAATATGGAAACACAAATTAGTGTCTGCAGGGGCCCTCAGGGCTGCACAAAAAGTTCCAAAGGGCCACATGTGGCCCTCGGGCTGCAGGTTGGGTACCAGGGGTTTATAGGCTTACCCCTTTGTATGTAGTCAATAGGGGTAAGCAGCACAGTGCCTGTGAAGGAGAAGAACAAGAGTTCTCTACCAGGCTATATAATACAGATGAAGTTAGAATTATTCCTTAAAGTGGCTTTTCCTATTTTGATCAAAGATTTGTACTGTTTGGATACACTCTCCACACTGCTGTACAAGAGCTTTATGAGTGATAGTGTTATAACCACAAAGTTGCTCAATTTGCATACCATGCTTGTTAACAAACTGATAAAACCTGAAGGAGATAATTAAAATGTATTTTAAAAGTGACATGGAACAAAGTAGCAGATCTCCATGACTTGACAGCCAGCTGGGGCTTTGTTGAAGAGCACAGCATTTGCTTGTGTTGAAGGTGTACAATTACTTCTACTTGTCTACATTTCAAGGAACAGACCCCCAGCAAAGGTGACAGGGAAATAAATCAATGTAATCCAAAATAGACATACCATTATCCTGACCAACAAAGCTGTGTCTGCTACTGCAAACGTACAACACAGAAGACTAAGTAAGTGGATAATTATTAAAGGTGAAGTACACTTACTGCAAAAGACTTAACCTTAATTAGGTTTAAGGAATTTGTGTTCTTTCCCTATTTGCTGGAAACTGTGATATGTACATCTTTCTGACTAATCTGACTTTAGTTACCAAGTACGGACATATTCAACATGGCAGCCATATCAGATAATGCTGATTGGAGCACTTGGATCACTTTAAAGTGGTTGTAAAGGCTCAAGGTTTTTATCTTCAAGCATTCTATGCATGAAGGTAAAAAAACCTTCAGTGTGCAGCAGCCCCCCCGAATCCTTACCTGAACCCCTCCGATCCAGCAACCTTCTCGAGTCTGGGGACTCTTCTTCCTAATTGGGCAGCAGCAGGAGCCCATTGGCTCCCACTGCTGTCAATCACAGCCAGGGGCGAACTGACCATTTGTAAACTCGGGCACTGCCCGAGGGCCCGGGGTCAGTAGGGGGCCCCCATGAGATGCCCCTGGTACCTTTTGCATAGGCTTTTTTGAGTTTGGGCAAGGACACAGGGGCCCCATGATCCCCTATTGCCCGGGGGCCCCATGAGTTGTCAGTCTGCCCCTGATCACAGCAGTGGGCCAATGAGGAGACATCAGGGGGGTGGCAGCCGAACCGTGGCTCTATGTGTCTTATGGACGCATAGAGCAGCAGATTGGGGGATGAGCACGCAGTAGTGCCCCCAGGGCGAGTGACTTTCCTTGGGGGACACTGCTCAAGGGGGAGGAGCAAGGAGCTCTGGCAGGGACCCAAAAAGAAAAGGATTAGGGCTGCTCTGCTTAAAATCACTGTGCAGAGCATGTAAGTATAGGATGTTTGTTATTAAACAAATGAAGCTTTAGTGTCACTTAAAGCAGCATATATATACGGTACATAAAATTAAATGTGAACACAGAAAACACAAGCAGCGCTCTACCCCCTAGCTGAATCATAAGTGACACCAATGCTCAGGCTAGAGTATCTGGCTAACTACTTCAACAAAAAATCCTAAGGAAACTGGCAACACGGTACAAGTCTTCCATATATAAAAACTTTATTGGCACATATGATAAAATCAAGTATCAGAGGACTTAAGCATTTCAACAAGTTTTATTCATATCACTATGCTATGAATATGCGCCATGTGCTATGAATAAGTCTTAGCTGCTGAAACGCGTAAGCCCTCTGATACTGGATGTTATCATGTAAGCCAATAAAGTTTTTGTATATGGAAGACTACTGTGTTGCTGGCTTTCCTGACAATTTACAATAATATTAAATACCCAAAAAATAAAGTTCTGTTTTTTTTTAAGTCGAATTTCAGGTTATTACTAACTAAACTTAAACATGCTCCCACCCCATTCTAAATCCTATTCTAACTACCCTGTAAAAGGAAGATGCACATGCTTACCTATCTACAGAGTGCTCTTGTCCAGTCACATTATCTCCCTAGCAGCCAGCTTCAGGAAAGAGGAGAGATCACCAACAACAGATGGAATGCCTGTGCGGTGACATCACTCCTAGGCTTACTATGGGGCATCCATTGTTGGCTGTCCCTCCTCTACCCTGCAGCCACCACTGGGAGTTGATCATGTGACTGGACCAGAGTGCCCTGTGAATAGGTAAGTATAAGCATCCTCTTTTCACAGGGTACTTAGAATAGGATTTAGAAGGGGGTGGGAGCAGGTTTAAGCTTAGTTAGTAATAGCCTGAACTTCTACTTTATGGAATACCTCCGCATTTACTCAAGTGTAGAGAGTTCTCACCTGCAAAGTGCAGGGATGTTGCATCTCCCTCTTTTATCCATGTTTAAGTTAAAACACTGTACAATTTAATTTTCCTTGCACTCCTTTATTAATTCAACCCCTGTCTGTCTATGTATTTAATTATCTGTCTAGATAGTCATTCTCAACGGGTTTCTAAGGAACCCTCGGGTTCCTCAAGAAGTCGTTAGGGGTTCCATGAGTAGTGAGCAACTTCTGCTACTCTGATAAGTAACCACTGACAACAGAGTGATATTAAACCCTCAGCTTTTTAAAGCACTTTCAGCAGCTGATTTAATAGCTTACTCAGTATGCAGCTTCTTTATATTTTAATCTTTGCCTGTGTTCTAGTTTAATATGGTGCCATGACTACTGCCCCAGGTTTCCTGTTTCAGAGAAGCTCCTTTCTCTTACAACATCCTATGGAGCCCACCCTTGCATTTAGGGATTAGGGTTGTGTCTCTGTACACTGTATGCATCAATAGAAACACTCAACACCATAGCCTAGGATAGCAAAAAAAC